AGGGTGCTGGGGGTCGTGCCCTTTCCCACTGTGTCCTTCCCCAGTGTGTGACGGGGCACTGGGGGTTGTGTCCCATCCCGCTGTGTCCCCTGCTCCGCTCTGCCGTTGGGTGCTGGGGTACTTCCTCATCCCGTCACGTCCTGTTGTACGTCTCTCTGGGGATCCCTGAAGGGGAAGGAGTGCATCTCCTCCTCCCTGATACCCCTAGGCTGTGGGGTCCCAGGAGAGGTGCTGCCACCCATCCCCAAAATCCCTCGGACAGCAGGGTTCCTGGTGCAGGGGCACAGCGACCTGGCCCGCTCACATCTGAGTGGACCCTGGGGTCCCTCGTAGATGAGAGGAAGGTACTGAGGATCCCTCAGGTTCCTGGGCTCATGTCAGAGAGGGAGAAAAGCCTGGTAGCTCCCCCCTCCTTTTCCCCGGACGCCAGGGTCCCTGGCAAGCTGCCTCTGATCCAAGCAGCCTTGGCAAGCCCCTGCCAGTGGGGCCTCATGACCGCGAGGGTGGCTCAGGTGTGACGTGTGACCGTCGCTGGCTGGCGAGAGCGCCCCGAGGTGCTGACGCAGGGCCCGTAACCCACGGGGCTACACGCCCGACCGGCGCAGGGCTTTGCCTGAACTCCGGGATCTTGAGCTACTTTGCAGCTTTTATAGCCTCGAGCTGTTCTTCTGTGGCTGAGATAAACGTAGAAGTTCAGAGATTGGTTCATCGCAGGCAGGAGCAGCTGCTTGAACAGGCTGAGTGTGCTTCCTGTTCTCCTCCGAGGAGGCGTCGGTGTCCTCTATGACTTGTCGAGAGGGATCCAAAGTCCAGGTTGTGGCGCAGAGCCCTTCAAATGCTCCTTTGGCTGAGCGGCGGCGCCGCCAAGCAGGCGAAAGGCCCTGCCGTCCATGTCCTAGGGGCGCTGCACTTCCCCGGGGGGTGCCGATGGTCTCGCCTGCTTCAGCTTGGTCTCTGGTGCAAAGCAGATTTCCTCAGGTGGGGAAAGAGGAGCCCGGGGTGTTTCTGGTTGTGGCCAGGTTTGTACAGCTGGAGCAGGCTGTTTTAAAACACCGCGTTGTATGCTCTTGCAGAGATCTTGGGCTGTAGGATGGCTAAGGAAAGTAAAGGAGCTGTGGTTTGGGAGTACTAAACAGGTAGTAGGGGGCAAAATGAAGCCCCAGGAGTAAAACCAGCTGTTAAAAATGCATCTGGATGGTCCCAGGGTGATGCAACAGTTCATGGGACTCATTGCCCTCACAGATTTCTAGCCTGAAGGCCCTAATGAACTTCTGCTTGGGAGAGTTTTCTGGGCTGAACTGAGCTCCCACATGGGGCTGGAGTGGATGAGCTGCCTCGGACATGTTTGTGACTCAGTTCTCCAACACCTCGGATGCCTTTCTTCAACCCAAACTGCTGGATGGACTTTGGACTGCCTCAGGCAGGGCTTTTTTGACTGACCTCGCCTCCCTGGCAGACTGGCAGCTCCTCTTCAGGCTCATCCAGAGCCTTGGTGAACCCGTGTGGACCCGTATGGAGAGAAAAGATCACTCAAGGATGGCAGGCTGCTGCTGAGCCACCGTAAAACCCTGCCAACCCTGTCAGCAATGCCCCAGGTAGCGCTGAGCTTTCCCACCTGACGCTGCGATGGCAGAACAGCCCACGCGTCTCGTGTGGGGTTTTGGGGCCCTCCTTTGGCCCTGTGAAGCTGCAACCCAGCCTTCCCTCCGGCTGCAGTTTGACTTAGAGGCTGATCTCAGCAGCCCAAACCCAGCTGGCCCCATGGGGAGCGGTGGGATCTTGAGGGTGCTCGCAAGACTGTACCTCCATATTTGGCTGCACCGCTCTCTGCATCTCTCCAGTCCCGTGAAAACGAGGAACTCTGTGAGTGTAAGCAGGGACAGCCAGGGTTTGCCTTGTCCCATCTCTTCTCTCAGACTCGGGCACTGCAGGGATGCTTTTCCTAGGATGAAGGCAGATCAGGTGGCTCGGCTGCATCGCTGCCCTCACTGAAGGCTTCTCGGCAGTTCTTGCCATAGTGCCTGCCTCGTGATGCCTGCTGGGAGCCAGCGCTGCGTATTTGGACGCTTACAATCCAAATCTGTGTTCTTATCAGGAGGCAGAGTGGTTCTTCCCAGCCTTGTCCGCGTTGCGGTGAGGAATTCTGGATGCTGGAGCCGACAGACCTGCTGTGGACGTGCTCTTGGGTCTTGGACCTGCTACATCAGGGGCTGATGAAGGGGTTGAGAATCATGAAAGCTGTGACTCCTTTACACTTCCGCTCTTTCATGCGCAAAGTCTCCGTGCGTCCACCCTCGTTCAGTGCACTGCCTTCCCTTGTGCTTCTCTGAAGTGTCCTGAGAAGCTGCGCTTCTCCTGGGAGGGAAGTCGGTCTGTCTTTTTGTTTCTGTCTCACCGAGGGCAGATTTGTTCCTCTCCAAAGTGTCATTTCCCTTGGCGAATCCCTCTGAATGGCTAGAAGAGCTCTCCTGCACAGCAAGCGTGACCCTGTGGCCTGTCTGCTGGCCAGGAAAACCAGAGTCGCGTGGCCAGGAGAGAGCACTAAATCATCTCATCGCGTAGCGATCGCGGCGAACAAAGAGCTTTCGCAGCGGAGGCGCTTGAAGTCGTTCCCTGTGTTGTGGTTGAAGGGCAGAGAAGGGGCTAGGAGGCGCGAGGGAAAAAATCACGCTTGCTGGTAGGTGGAGAGCAGTCCCATCGCCTAACCCTGAGTGGGCTGCTCCGACGGGGAGTGGGTGATGTTTTGCTTTCAGTGTACGAACATCATGCCTCGTGTCTGCTCTGGTTTTTGAAACCCCTGTCTTTTGAAGAAGAAATAGGCTCCCAAACCTTCCCTGTACAACCAGTAATGCTCTAGGTTGTTCTAGAAGATAAACTCTCTATACAGTCATGTTGAGCTGGCTGCAGGCCTTGTTGTGACTGTTTGAGCGGGATACTTTGGCAGTCCCGCGTGGTACGTAGCCGGGAGGGAACAAGACAGTTAACTCTTTGGATCTATTAACCCGGGTGAGTTTGCAGGAGAGCCGGCAGTGTGGACTTGGTGCTGGGCTCTGTGCGTTTCCTCCAGGTCAGCGAGAAGCGTGCAGGGAAGACTTGCTTGGTGCATCTTCTCGGCTCTGACAGCTCAGGGCTTTCTGTTTAAACCCTTGCGCTCAGACTTTCTCAAAAGCTCTGACCCAGCGCAACAAGACAGTTTTCACGAGTGAAATCCTGACTGAATTCAGCGCATCTCCAGTCTTCCACCTGAAAACTGGGCTTCCTCGTGGCATGGACATCTAGGAAAGTAACTCTAATGGATTGGAGCCCGTTTCTCTCCGTGAAGTCATTTACTCTGTGCTTCTGGCCATCGTTCAGTCTCGGAGAGGAGTTGTTTGGTTGCCGGCTATTGCTGCCAGTGCTGCCCGCTGTTTCCAGGCATGTAGTAGCTTTGTGCTTAGACCAGGAGAAGGGAGTCTGGTTTAAAATTGCTTGAGGCATGTACACAATACTCCACGAGCGTTAACTGCAAAGAAAAACGGGGCTGAAAATCTTTCCACCTTGAGACGCGCTGCCTTGTGAGCAGGGCTTTGCCAGAAAGAGTCATCCAAAATTTAAAAAAAAGAGCATTTTTTCATATACTCAAATGTTACTGCCCGGCTTGGCTCACAGAGAGCTGCGGAGGAAGTACAGAAGGGACCTGTCCTGGTCCGTTTGCTGGAAGCAACCCAGGGAGAACCCCTGTGGGGACTGGCGTTTGGAGGGAATTACAGCTGCGGGCTCCAAGCTGGGAAATGTCACAGCTACAGCTGTAGCTTGCATGTTTTCGGGCCAGGAGGAGATGGAAGATCGTCCCTCTGCCCTCCTGCCCAGTATGGGTCCTTATTCAGCTGCCTTGCACTATGCACAGACCCCAAAGTCTGTACTCCAGAAGACAGGCAGCAAATTTACTGTCTCCCTTGGCAGGCTTTGACTGAAGAAGCATCTCTGTTTTGGAGATCAAGAGCAAGCAAAAGGCTTGAGCTCTGCAGGGAAGGCTTCTGCGTGCTACTGGAAGCATGCTCAGACCCATCGGTCTTCCAGGTGACCCAGCCTCATAGCTTCTGCTGCCCATAAAGGTATGGGTGCCAACTTTGTCCTATAGCTTCGAATTCCCTGTGGTTTGATCCCCACCATCGGTCTTGGGCTGAACTCCGACTTGATGTTTCACTTGAGTGACTCAGGACCTCTGTCAGGATGTGGGGACGCCCCGGTGTCCCTGTCCTGCGCTGGAGACGTCCCGCTGACAGTCCAGCCGCAGAGGCTGAGATACCTCGGAGCACAGCTTTATCGTGAGCTCTGAGCACCTTCGCTCTGCTGCCGGAAGAGTCTGCCGTGCCCGGCATCGCTTTGTGGGAGTCTGAACTGGCCCAGAACCAGTTTGTTCTGGCCAGCACCTCTCTCGCAAAGGTGAATGCCTGAGACAACTGAGGTGAGTGAAAACTTGTGCCTTGAAGTGAAAGCTCGGAAATCCAGTACTAGCAATTCCCCCACCACCACCACTACCCCAGGGAAAGGGCAGCGTTGTTTGTGCGAGACCACGGCTGGTTTGGCCAAGGAGGGCGGTTAAGATGCCTGAGTGACTTCTCCCCCTTTCTTCCGCAGCATTTTTATCATCTGGGCCATCAGCAGTTGGTTCCGCCGCGGGCCGGCACCCCAGGAGCAGAGCAGCGCTGGCGGGACGCCGCGAGCTCCAAGCCGAAACCTCTTCCCTAAGGATACTTTGATGGTAATGCCGACAGAAGCTCCCCGTCGGGTCAGGTCGGAAGGGGCTCACAGCACTGTAGGTGCTGGCTATTGAAGCTGGAGCTAATGCCTCCTGCAGCTCGGGCCATCCCAGACGTCCTGTTACTGCTGCCGGGGGCATAATGCTGGAAGCAGGACGCAGGAGTCGTTCTGCACCATGCCACGAGAGCCCTGAGCAACTCGCTTTTCCTGTTATGCCCTGAGCCCCTGCTTGCAAACCCCTCTCTTCACAGGGGTGCGAGATAGAGTGATTGGCATGTGTCGATTTTCTATACGTCCATATACGAATCCTTTTCCCTCTCGGATGAGTTCATCAAACCACATGCAGTGCCAAAGCTGCTTCAGCTCATCTCAAGCTCTCGCAGTGCTGAGAACAGCCTGGAAAGTGCAGGCTGGTGTGAAGGACGTGGAGGGGCAGGAGGATCTGGGCCTGGGCATGCAGCCTGGGGAATTCGTTGTACCATTCCCACGTGGCTCTGCCGATCCTGCTTGGTTTCTGTGGCTCTTTGCCATCTAGCGACAGGAGGCGCCTGTCTCCTCCCTCTGCAGCCAGCCCACTGCCTCTATCCCTGACCTGCTGCCTTTCTCACTGCCTGTGTGCTGGTTTCTCAGCAGCCTTCGTGGAAGGGCTGGGGTGAACCTAGCAACCTTTCCACTTGGTGGGCAGCTAGCCAAATGCCCTTTCACGCCTGGGCCGCGATGCCATGTGCTGTTATAAGCTCTTCGGGGGAGGCAGTTCTAGTACCTGCACCAAGGTCAGGCAGAGCAGCTCCTCTGCCACCTCACTGACCACCCTCAGTGGTTCCAGGTGATGCTGTGGCTAAAACAGGGCTCCCCAAAAGTCAGGGTCCAACAGGGAGTTGGTGTTTGCTGCGACAGGCACGTGTTGGGCTGCTTGGAGAGCAGCAGAGGGGGTGAACTGCTGGTGTGTAAAAGCAGGGGTTTGGGAGGTTCTGTGCAACACAGGCCTCTGCTGTTGCTTGGGGAGGGTTTAAAACAAATCCAGTACTCTGCCTCATGCCTGTGGTGTCCTGGCAGGGTACGGCAGTCAAAAGAAACCTTAATTATGTCTTGGGTTCGCCACAGCGCAGAGACGGTTTGGGAGGGGATGCTGTCCCAGCTGCACTGCGCATGGGAGGCTCGGGCGTTTGGGGAGGATACAGCCGCTTGGGCAGTGATATCTCGCTGTCGGACTGAGTCCGCTAGCAGCCAACGCGCTCTTCTCTCCACAGGACCTGTACGTGTATATCTCAGAGCACGAGCACTTTACAGATTTCAACGTCAGCTCGGCGCTGTTCTGGCAGAAGCGGGATCTCGTATATGGAGACTGGACCAGCGGGGAGAATGCGGATGGGTGTTACGAGCACTATGGGGAGGTAGACATTTCACAGGTGGGTGCAGGGCTCCGGCTGCTTTTTCTGGGAGGTTTGAGGCCGGATTAAGAACCATCAAGGGGCTGGCAGGGATTTTCCACGTCTTTGCTGGGTATCGTGCCAAAAACAACTCTGAAAGCTCTGAGCTCCAGTAGGTGAGAGAGCCTGAGACGTGCAGTTGTGTGGATGTAGGCTGCCGCAGCACATCGCTGCCGTTATGTTTATTAGTGTCTGTTTCGCTATCTGCTGGTGAGACCCTGTGGACTGGGCTCGCCCCACAACACGAGTAGGCTCTGCCTCACTCAGTGCTTATTACAAAGAGGGTGACAGGACTCAAAGGCATCGATTTTGGTCTGCCATGGCACAAGCTTGTGTCATAACCAGCTGTAAAGGCTTAACGTTTTACCCCTGGCCATACAGCAGCTGAAGACTTTGCTCTGCAGCTAGGCACAGGCCATGGTCATGTTGCTGTTCAGATGCTGTAAAAGAGCAGCTATTTCCTTGCATTTTCGTTATGCACAGAGTTAACCGATGCAAGGGGGATGGTTGGCGTCTGTGCTAGGTGCTGTACGAGCACAGGCGCCGAGGCGGTGGCTGCGGTTGTGGCTAGGAAACTGCAGCTGAGCTCCTGTGGGCTGCGGTAAACTCGCCCTGTGCAGCCCGAAGTTGGGCCGTAACCACCCTGTCGGTGTGTGATTTCAGAGCGTCCAGCAAAATGGCTCTATCTACATCCACGTGTACTTCACAAAGAGCGGCTTCCACCCAGATCCCAGACAGAAAAACCTCTACAGACGCCTTGCCACGGTCCACACATCACGCAGTAAGGCCCAGTGGCTGTAACTTTGATTTACTGTTCACTGAAAAACTATCCCCAATCTGAAGCCTTTTGCTGTGATAGCTAGGAAGATCAGTAAGACGGTCCAGATTACTCTTCCGTGTGGGTTATGTGAGGGAAATGGGCTCCTCCATTTACCTTGTGGCTGTCTTAAAATGCTCCAGGCCCCCCCGACAGGCTGAAACCTCTCTAGATTTCCTTCCTTACCTTCGTACATGTAGTTGAGGCAAGGCTGCAAGCTCCAGGGGGTTTGAGGCCCACTGACAAACGTACAGGTGTTTCTGCAAAACGTAGGCGGAAGTACAGAGGCTGCCAGGCTTAATAGTGGGAGATTTGTGGCTTGCCAGAGATCATCACCTGAACCTTCCCTGGGCTTTTGCAAGGACAGGAAATCCAAAAGACTGTTGGATTGAAGCTAGAAGCTGGCCTTGTGCATGCTTGTGTGGATGGTCAACTCCTGGGCGTCTTCTGTCCTTCACCAGAGGTGGTCACCGAGATTCCAGTGCTGGTGAAGGAAGTGAAGTGTAGCCAGGTCCCATGCGAGGGAGATGAATGAGGTTCTTCTCTTCCAGCTCTTGAGACGTGTCCAGGAATGTGGGTCCCCCTGAAAGAACAGAGATTCATAGGTGTTCTGGACCTTATTTTGGACCCTGGGTTGGCAGTTTGGTAAACTTGGCATGACGGTGCATCTTCTTCCTGTGTTGTGTCCTGTGGCATCTGGGAGAGATGGAGGCATGAGCAGAGAAGTGTCTGTATCAGAGGGAGATTTAGGGGCCCAGTTGTTTGCTGTTGGTCTGTGTGGCAGCGTTAGTGTCTGGCACCGTGTGGGAGAAGGAAGGTTGGGAGAGAGCAGGACAGACAGGGCATTCCCAGGACCGCTGTTCCTCAGTTATCCACCCAGGCCAGAGTCCCAGAGGAAGAGTCAGAAGTTCCTTCAGGCTGTGGAAAGGACTAGGGCTGCTCACATCTCCTCTCTCCTTCCAGTGATCAATAAATACAAACGACGGCGGTTCCAGAAAACCAAGAACCTTCTGACTGGAGAGACAGAAGCGGACCCCGAAATGATCAAGGTAACAGTCTCCTTTTCTTGCCCTGTTGGCTGTGGGTCGCTTCTCCTTTGAGCCGAGCGTAACTGCGGTGAGAGCAGATCGGCTCGTGCTGGCCCGGTGTCAGTCACCTTTGGAGTATGGTGCGTTTTAGGGCTTCTCACAGGGGAGGCTTGAGGGATAGCTGGTTCGTAAAGCACTTAGCTAAGCAAACGGGCATCTTCACCGTTCTCAGCAGATCGCAGGAAGTAGCTCCTTTGCTCTGGCTTAGCATTCTCCCCTAGGAAAGCAGTGAAGGTGTGTCCCCCACCAAACTCCTAAATATTCACGCGCTGTCCTCTGATCGTAAAGGCGCTGGGAACTCAACGGCAGAGTGTCCTTCCTGCTCGGGGTTTGTTGCTCCTCCTGCTCCGAAGATGAGCTGTATAAACCAGAAGGGAAACAGGACAGTGGCTTTGCCATGCCGTTTTTAGCTCTGATGAGACAGGAGGGTTAGCCCTGCCTCTTCTTCCTCCCTCCTTTCCTGCCCTGTTTAGTGGATGACAGTGACAGTGAAGTGTCAGGCTGCTGAGAGACTAACTCTGAGTAAGATGTGGCGGGCAAGCGTTCTTGCCGGTGTCCTGCTCTGGGCCGTCCCACGCTTCGTGCATACGGTGTATGCCCTGGTGGCCTCTGTGTTCATGTGGGCCTCATGTAGCAGAAGGAAAGCGGCCCCGAGGATTCCCCAGCATGGTTTTGTGGCTTGGCTTGAGCCAGCTCCAGCATCTTGCAGCCCCTCAAGTTCCCCTGGCTAAAAAGACCGAGATATGTGGAAAAGGAGCTAGAGGCCTACAAAGCTGCTTGTCCGGGCTCAGGCCTGGCCTTGCTTCGGGTGCCTTTGGTGTAGGCTCATCCCTTAGGGTTAGGGATGGACTGAACAGGAGTTACTGGCTACCGCAAAGGGAGCGGATCTGCTTTGGGGCTCTGCATGGTAAATTATGGTTTGAAGAAGATGACAGGTACCACAGCTCACTGTCTTTGCTCTCAGGCCTTGCTGGTCTCAATAT